CTTATGAAATATTTGATTAAAAGAATTCCAGTACAGGAGAACCTGGAAACATGAACTGACCGTGCTGTAAACACTGGAAAACTAGAAGATAGCTCGATTTTTAAAATTGTAGTACCTTTTTACCACTGACATGGGCTGTGCTGCAGGCATGGTAGGAAAGTAAGCCTTTGCTGCAAAAATGATGGAATTAAGCAAGCTGAGCCTTCAGCTCAGTGCTCTCTCTTTGGGCAGTTGCAGCACTCAGGAATTGCCATGGAACGAATCCCTTGGGGAACATCTTAGGCATTGCTGTCCAGAAAGAATCGTTTTGGCTTTGGAGAAAGACCAGGTAGAAGATGGAAGGGAATTTGAGGACAGAGCAGACAGAACCCTTTCATCTAATAAGCAGAGGTAGCAGCTTCAGCCAGACCCATGATCACAGATTAAATTGTGAGGGTCATCTTGCACTCCGTAGCATTCCCAATCTCACAGTGTTCATTTGTCCAGCATACCCCAGTGTGCTATTTACTGATGCTCTGAATTGCTGCTGTTTTCTGTTCATGAGAAAGGAGTAATGTAGAGTGATGTAGAGACCTGGAGGATACAAAACATCCTTGGTACTGCTGTGGGGGGAGGCACAGAGGGATGGCTGCACAGAGGCTGCTCTTTCACAGTGGGGAGCTTGCGAGGGTGGAAAAAAGGGAGGCAAGCAGTGCCTGGCAGTTTGGAGTTAATTTAAAGCATGTTTGGGGTCTTTTTGGCTTGCCCTTTTTTGTGTGTGTGTGTGTGTGTGTGTGTGTGTGTGTGTCTGACAACACAGCCTCATCCTAGTTTTTCTACACAATTTCACAATTAGCAATGTTTCGGCTCTGGCTTCTACATGCACTTCTGCACTTTCTGGAGGCAGATGTGCTGAATTCTGTTGCTGTTTTTTGCCAAAGCAGGTAGCATGTCCTTCATGCTGAGTAGGTCTTCAGTATTCAGAACATGGGGAATTGGGATAAGACTCACCTCTCTTTATATAAACAGCAAAGCATTACACCCTTCTGAGAAAACACAGTGCAATGCTGTGAATGCCTTTGCTCCCACAACCTGCTAGAATACAGGTGGGTATTGATATCTTCTAACAGACAGAGCAAATCAGCTTAGTGTGCTGGCTTTATGGCTGTATTTTAAGAGGAGAAATCGAGTTGGTGTTACCATGACCAAGTTTTCATGCAAAGCTTCCATTTGCAAAGCTCTTTCTCACTTACTTTATCAGCTGCGCCAGATCTTACTAAAAGCCAAACAGTAGTCAGCTCTGACTATTAGCTTAATGGTTTCATACCAGCTTCTTCATAAAGTAGAAACAAGCAGGTTATTTAAAGCATGTAGGTCAGATTGGTCTGGTGTTTTCCAGTAAGATTATGTAAAGACATTATTATTACCATTATTATTATTAAAACTTTCAAATACAGGAGATGCACCTGGTGCAAGACATTTGGTGTGTGTGTGTTCCTCTTTGCTTCCTGAAGTTTTATTGCAGAGTATACTCTGAAGAGATTTTTAACCTTTACTTCCAAACTTGATATTAACACCATAGTATTTCTGCTGACTGTTTTGCACTGGTATTCTTAATGTAAATGTTCCACTCCAAGTCGTTTAGCCTCAAGTTCCAAATTAAAATGTTTTCCTGTGAGAAATCCCATAATCCTTCTGCAAGAGGACTGCAGTATAAAGCAAAAAGTAAAATGAATGCTAGGTAGCCAGTGAATCTCTGGTTTTTGTTTATCAAAGCTAGTAGCTGCAGAAAATAAATTATTTAAAAGAGTTCTAATTCACTGTTTCTGCAAGGGTATTACTTATAATTTAAGGTACTGGGGTTTTTTTGTTGGTGTAAGGACAGATTACTGTGTAATATACCTCCTGCACTATGGAAAAACTAGACTTTGTTAGAAGTACAGGTAGATGTTTATGAACATTTAGGGCTATTTGCTTTAAAACTCCAAAAGGATCCTTAAATATTTAGGGCAGCCTGTTTCCTGAGACAGTAAAATCCTTAGGTGCCTTCTGCAGGAGGTGAGGAAAAGGGCAATATTTACATACAGAGAGGAGACAGATGCTCATCTGCTGGAACCTCAGCACTGCAGAAAAGGTACCATTAACAATCTGTTGTAAACTCTGGTGTTCAAAGGGCAACGATAAGAGTCCCACTCAGTACTGAAACTCAAGTCTTTAAACAAATCTGTCCCCTTGTTTAGTTGCTGTTAATTGGTTTGGTAATTGTTGTGACAGCTTTCTATGGGAGCAAAAAGCCACTGTATTCTGGAAACAGCTTATTAAGTTCTTGCCATTGTAACTGGCTGGCTTTAATATTACCAGTTCACGAAGAAAGGGTGAAGAAAATAGATTTTGGTATGTCTCTGTGAGGATGGAGATGGGTGACTGAAGTTTACCAATCCAAGCAAATGGCAAGTTACACTCTGCATATGCAGGTTCAAAATTCATAGCCCATTTAAAAAATAATTCTTAAGATTCACAGAAATGAAGACCTTTCTCTCTGTGTGTGTGTATGCGTGTGTGACAGAGAGCAGTCATCAAAAACTGCAGCACCCTTGGAGGAAGGAAACAGATGGCAGGAAGAGCTTCCAGATACTTGACAGGCTGCAACAGACTTAAATGCAGGCAGTGATAAATGGGCACGAGATTGGGTTTTGCTGTAGCTATTGTTGTTTAGTCTTGTTAAAATGCATGATGTGCTGTATGTTAGTGGTATCAAAGTTTTATGTCCTCTCTACTTTGGTGGTCCTTCTGTAGCTGCTGTGGCCACTGGGGTGCTATGAATGGGAATGAAGATCCAGGCATTTCTATGAAAAATGAAGTTTCTATGTATGACTAATAGCAGGACTTAATGTTGAGTAGCAGCAAGGGAGAAGTGAAAGTGAATTTAATTCCTGCATCTGGGTTATTCTAGGCTTTCTGACAAAAATGGCCATGTGAGGCTGGTAATTAAAAAAAATAAAAAGTTTTTGCATGCATACGAATAATTAATTCCTTCACTTTCTTCAAGTGAAGAGGTGTGGGTGCTGGGATTTCCTGTCTTGGGAGCTTTATCAGGTACAGAAATGTGTAACAGTTGGTATTTTATTCATCATTCAGTAGGCTGGGAACAGTGGAGAGCAGCCTGCTCTGCAGCCAGTGCCCATCCTGTAAATATAGTGCCCAATTTCATGTCATTGACTGTAATAGATAATAGACCAATGTATACTGAGGAAATCCTATGGCTTCTGATAGGAGCCTCCAATCTGGACTTCTGTGAGGCTGCTCGAACCTGAGAAACTAAACATAGCATCTCCTCCTTTTTGAGATGGGTAGGGCACAGCTGATTTTCCTGCCCAGGACCAGTCTGCTGTTGTGCAAGAAGGCAACTGTGCTGCAATGTGAGGCTCAAACTGTCAAGCCTCAGCATGAGGGTAAAACTCCACAGGGTTCTTTGGGCATGTGACTTCTCATTACTTAAAGCCTCTAATACTTAACAGAAGTTTCCTCCTAGGAGTTTGCAAAGTGGTTTTTTAGGGTAATTTACCCTTTTTACCCTGGGTGCTGTTTTCTCCTCCACTAAACCATCTTGTGGCCTGTCAGACCTTCTGTAGGAGTTTGCCTTTTTAGCTGTGAGGTAGAGTGCAATATTAGTCAAACTCAGCTTGAGAAGGAGCTGCTTTATTTCCAGGCAAGGCAGAGCTGTGTGAGCTGTGTACGTGACCAAGGACAGCTAAGTAGGCAGGTACTTAACATGAGCAAGTAGCTGAAGGAATGCAGACTGGGACAGATGACTTTGGGGTAATCTGAAGAACAGGGAAAGCAATTAAGTTGAAAAGTATCTGCCTGGGCTCAGGAGCCTGTGTGATCTTACGGTCCTGGTTTTCACTGCTGTCTGGATAGCTTCTGAGTAATGGTGCAGTGCTGCCTGAAGTGAGCGGTTTCACATCCACTGCTCAACTGTGTGCAACCAAAGCTTCTCAGCCTGTACCATTTGGGCTGAGGCAAAGCCAGGATATGTGTAGGTGGGACTCTGTGCCTCGAGTTCTGAAAAATAATTCTAGAAAATATGGCCAGAAGGAACTTACACCAGTGTGTTGCATACTGACTGTTAGAAGGAAAACATCTGGATGAGATGCTGCTAGTTCCTGCAGAGTACCCAGACCCTACTCAGCACAGGCAGTGTAGAACTGCCCAGAGGGAATGTATTTGAGACAACCCTGTCCTGGATCAGGGCTGTAAGTGCTTCACATAGTTAAGTGTGAATATGAGAGTCTCCTCTGAGAAGGGACAAAAAGCCCTAAGGAATTGCTCCTCTTTTGCAAAGTCTCAATCAAAGGAGAAAGTTAAATGACTGTGTCCTCACTTGACTTGCTGATGTAATGTTAGACTGGACTGTAGGAAGAATCTGATGGAGCAGCTGTGATGATATCAAGGTTCTGCCACAGAGATAAGTTGCTTTTTAGCATCTTATTGAAAAGGTCACGCAGTAAGCTTTGGTTATTTGTGATCTGTACTATTGCTTGCTCCTTTATTTGCAGTGGCCACATTTAATGTTAGTCTGAAGTGATTATGTCTTGTAGCAAAAGAGCTTCAGGAAACTTGATGCTGTATTGAGCATGTTCCTAAAGAAGCCTTTTCTGATAATGGGTTACTTCAGCCTGAGCTCCCTGTTCAGATATGTAGACTTCTTATTTTAGTTTGGAACTTTAATGACAGTGCTTAAGATTGAGTTGCTTTTGTTATGGGTATTTTAATTTGAGTGGCTCTTATTGGGTAACTCAGAGGGCTCTGTGCAGAGAGGGCTCCCTTCTGTCTGTGCAGTGTCTGCATAGGCAAATGGAGATGCTTTTTCAGTGTGTGGCAGCAGTTCACATGGAGCTGAGGACTACAGAATGTCTTTTGTTTGGAGGAAATATTAGCAAGGGTGCCTAGGTTGCTTTTTTTAATTAATTTCTTGATGGTTGGATTATGTTTTTATTAATGTGTTGAGAGTTAAAGGAGAAAAGTAATCGGCTGTTGTGCAACAGGGTCCAAGTGTATTGCATGTTACCTTCAGTCCAGTCTTTTGCTGGCCTGCAATACTGAAAGAAGTAGGGGTGTCCTTAAATTTTCCTTCATGGGCAAAAAAGATGGCAAATAACATAGTTACACCAGGATTATTGTTAATCCTGTAGGTCACCTCAGAGGAAGTCTCTATCATCGAAGTTGCACACCCAGGTTTCTGCCTCCAAGGCAGTCCACTCGTGGCGTCTGTAATCTCCCGCTGTAGTATTTACTAGAGAAATGTACCTCCGGGAACTGCCAGTCTGCCCTGTGCGAAACTACGAAAAAACTGCCAGAAAAGATCTGGGAAGCGTTTACGTGGTGAGTCACTGGGCAGAGGGAGTGCAGCGCTCTGCATCATCCTCCCCAACCCTGCCAGGTGCTTCACTGCCTACCTGAGGGTACAGACACTTAATTTTTCAGAAGTGAAACCGCTCCTTTGTGATCCAGGCATAAAACTGCTGTCACTTATGCCAAAATGAAATTCCTGCCTGGTTTTGTTTTGTCTTCTTCAGTGTTTGTATTGGCTTGGCATTTTCATATTTTGTATCCAGTGTCAGTATTTGTTTCTGGGAAGAAAGTTTTGCTTAAACTTTAATTTCTGCAATTTGTTTGTTTAAACTTGTTGGCAACTTTGAAATGCTGCAGTCTGCTCCATATGCTAGTATCAGTGTTGCTATTAGTGACTGACTTCCAAAGAAATAAGGAGCAATTAGACAGGGAATGTTTTTTATGAAATAGTTGGGAGCATTTTCAGTTATAATAATATTTGGGAATATTTTTGTGCTATTTGTGGCTAGTTTTTAATAAATGTAGGGTTATTTTGGCTGGTATTGAGTCAAGATTGTACAGTCCTGAATCCAGTGAAAGTTTTTTTCCACCATAGACTTAGAGCGTGTATGATGGAAATAGACCATATATATTATATATATATATATATATATATATAAAACCATGACAGTAGTATTGGTATGATGGGCAAAAACTGACTGATCGAGAAATGCAAAAAAGCTGGGAGGACAGACAGATGTGTGTTTGTAGATGACAGGATGAACAGTGAATTTCATTAGTAAGAAATCATGATGATGGTGTATGTTGAAGCTTACCAGGTGAGCAGTGACATCTGGAGGGGTTGGCCAACCTGAGACCGGAGCTGATGCTTCAGTAGCACAGTATAGTCAGTCTGTCGAGGTCCAAATAGTGTGAGCCTGGTGAAAGGAACGAAGAAGTCGAAAACCAGAATGAAAGCAATGATTTTAAGAGTCCTTGATAATGCTGGACTAGGGGAAGGAAAGCTAAGTCTGAACAAAGCAACAGGATGCATGTATCAAATAAGGAGATATTGGCATTACCAAAACACAGACTTAGTTATGAGCTTCAATGCTAGGATGGATGGGAAAAGCCATCTTTGCTGCTTTCAGAAGGAATCCACAAACACAGCCTGGGCCTAAGGATCTAGAGAGAGCAGAAAGCAGCCCCCTGTGGCTGGGTCTGTCAGTCGGGTGGCTGTGTCTCCAGCGATCAGGAAATGGGGCTACAGTGGGCTTTGCATCGGCCTGTTTTTAGCAGTGTTTCACTTAAAGTAGTGCCTGAACTTCATTAAAGAATGGGAGTGATTCCAAGATGTTAAAGATGGGGAACAAGACTGAAAGGGAGAGCTAATTTGAGTCATTCATGTCAAGTTGTTTATTTTATGCTTATGTTTGAGAACACTGAAAACACAGATATTTTTCTTCAAGGGTTGAGGATGCTTTACTCTAGCTGATCACAATAAAAGTATTTCAGTGAGAGTTTGGTCCCCCAGGACGAAGCTGAGCAGAGTACAGAGAGCAAAAAGCCTGGGAGATAGGGCCCTATATGACTCCTGTAGAAAGCTGGAGGGGTAAAGATGAGGAGAAAAATGGGAGAAGACTAACCCCCAAGAAACAAACGAATGGACAACTAAAAGGAGGAGGATGTCTGCTTGTGCTGAAGATAGCTGGCAGGCTGGGGAAGAAGGGAATGGGTTGCTGAATGTTGTCCAGAGAAGGTAATTATTTCTGGCTTTGAGTTCTGGCTCTGATTCATATAATATTTAAGGAATTTATCTGTACTTCCATGATGAGCAGCCTGAAAGCAAATGCTGGAAATTTGCCATCTGTGTAAAAACTTCTTTGCTGCGGATGTATACCATGAAAGTGAGTGGGACTGAAACAAAGTCCATTAACAAATTCCTTTATTGATGGGAGTGAGAGGTGAATGCTCTGGACCAGTTGAAACACCCAGGTCAAAAAAATGCTTAACTGTTAAATTCCTTTTCAAAAAAAATGAAGTAGCACATGCAGATTTTTCAATACCAAAGTCAGCATTCAAATTAAAAAAAGGTGGTGGAAGAAGGCAGTACAGGGTGTGTTTCAAAAGTTAGGGTTAAGATGCAAGAAGAAGATTAATAATAATTCCTGTTGGATTGGCCAACTATTATAATAAACTGTGATAGTGGACCTTGCTGTGAGTATTTAATTTTGCAGTTTTACCTTCATCTAGGCTCAATCCATGATCTCAAGAGCAATCACCAGTGCAGCTGATGTATCCATGTGTAGTCCTAAGAAAATATATTAATTTCTGCATTTATTCAAAGAGCATGTGTTTTCTAGAACAATCCATGTCTTTGTGATCTGATCTGATCTGATCTCTTACTCAGTTCAGACTGAGAATTTCACATAAGAATTCCTGTAATGAGATCTTCCTGGGTTTTGTGGCCAAAACTTTTGGGCAGGCTATTCAACTCGCAGATTTGGAAGCCTGAATGGTGATGAATTTATTGCTTTCCTTGGTACACTGGTTCATCTGGCCCATCTTGCTTCTGCTAAGTAAAACGAGATAGCAGGAATTTATAAAACCTAGACTCACATGTTCACTCACACTGTCGCTTGGGAAGAACACTCTTCTCCCTAGCCATTTGAAAAAATTCAGATGAGAAAGGGAGAGTTGGGGTGTCCTCAGACTGCATTACACCGTGATGGAGACATACATAGTCACGTACCATGGCACATTCATTCAGGAGAACACGGAGCAAAACGGGCTTCCTGTGGAACAGGCCTGCAGGCAGAGACAGAGGCAGGCACAGCACCTGGGTTAGACTGTTGCACCTGCAGGTCTGAAAACAAGCTCTACTGTACAGGGAGCCGGGAGCTACCAGCCTTGCAGTGCAGCCATCTGAAATACCCCTCTGGAGGGCTGCAGTGGTGCAGTCGCTGCTCTGATCATGACCCTTAATGTCTAGAGATGATTTTGGCCCAGCTGTTAGAAACCACATTAGACTTCATTTCATCTGATATGTAGGCAGTTATTTAATTTTTACTTTTCTGTGTTATTAACTGTATGCAGGAGGCAGTTTTTAGCCTTGCTTCACTGCTTCAAAATAAAAACCCTCATGCTTTAAATTGCATGGTGTGTACAAGGTGGGTAATGGGTTACGTGATTGTGCTCCTTCCTACGTGGCGACGCTTCCAAATCTTTAATATGACCACCGAAAATGATCCCCAGGGACTATTCAGGATGGTTGAAACTGCAGTAAGTTTGCAGTTTGTTGAAAATACCTGGCAGCAGTGTCTCATATTTAAGTGTATATGTGTTTGTAATGGGTTTCTGTGGCTGGCTCTTTAGGATATGGTTTTCTTCTGCTAACCTGAAATACAACTTCTGAAACATAAACCTCGCAGAACAGAATTAATTTTCTGGGGAGTATGATTGTCACTTAGCTTGATTTTTGTATGTTAAACTGGTTTTGTTTCAATTTTTAAGTGTAGAGGGTTGTATATATATATATATGTATATATATAACCTTGTCTAGGGAAAAGTCTATAGCTATATGTATGCATGGAGTTTCTTAGAACAGCAGGGATAAAGCTGTGGTGGTACTTGCAGGGCAGATTCTGACTGTGCTGAAAACCCCTCTAAATCATTAATTTGAAGATGCCATGTATGAAATTTGAAGTTATTGCAGGCTATTCAGGAGAGCATAGCTGCTCCCCCCCCCCCATCTGAGGTTACCATTCCAGGTTACAGTGGAAAGAAATCTTGATGGGAGAGCAGAGAGCACTCTACTGTTCCTGCATGGCATATGAAGAGAGAGGGCTTTCCTTTGCAGAGTGGGTTATCTGAGTCCCATCTCATGTTTTTTAAATTCTGTGTTTAAAATCATCTTCATGGGAAGAAATCTCTCTTGTTGCATAATAGCTTCAGGCTGGATTTTGAACATTGATTTTCCACTTACACACCTGATTTAAATGTGTTGCATCAGATTAAGAAACAGCATGTTATTGGCAGGACAGCTTCTTTGCACATGAAATGGTTGTAGAGGGTGGCAGATACTATAGTTGGGAACTGTGTAATAGGAATGAAGTTTTGCCACACTGGTGGAGCTCTGTGGCATCTGGGGAGGTCTGGATCCACA